TCGTACCTTATTACTTGTACAATAGTGTCATCTACTCTTCTATTTCCTACTTAAAGATCCATTAGACCCAACGGTTTATTTCCAGGAGGAAGATCAACCAATTCCCATGTATGGTTGTTCAATATGGATTCTATTTCACTATTGACTGTCTCTTTCCATAACAATGATTCTGAAGAAGACATAGCTTCTTTAAATGTTTGAGGCTCATTTTCCAATAAGAAAGTCACAAAATCTGGTCCAAATAAAGTAGACGTTCTTTGACGTTTACTACGTCTTGGATCCTCCTGGTTATGTGTACTTTCTTTTGTTTCTTCCCGAGATCGTTTAGATCCTTCACCAATCGACTCACATTCCTTTTTATACGGATATATATTTTCAAAGAACTCAGCATTATCTGATTCTATAACCGTATTATTATGAATGTCGGGATTTTCTGATTTATGAACCAGAAATCAATATGCTTTACTATTAGTCGCATATCCTATGAAAACACAATCAACGGTTTTCGATCCTATTTTTACCCTTTTGGGTTTAGGAACTTGTAATTTTGCCAAACACCCCCACACTTTAAAATAATTCAAGTTGGGCTTCCTTCCTTTCCATTTTTACATATGGAATCGGATTGTGTTTTGCTATGTGGTACTCGATTTAGTATTCGGCTAGCCGTAAGAACGACTTCCCCCCACAAGTTCTGTGGCAAACCAGAACCTTATCAATAATGTGTTCATCATCTCCTTTAATGAACGATTCTTTCTTTCTAGCAATTCCATTGGATTGGGGCGTGTAAGGGGCCGTTGTTTGATGAATAATTCCATATTCTAAACNAGCAGTACCGACGGTACCTGTTCTTTCGATAGGTCGTTGCCCTTCACAGCGGTGACGTAGTGGATCAGATGATCCTCGGGATCTGTGGTTCCGTCATATACCCTTAAGTAGGGTGGCATCTTGAAGGTTTTTGGGGTGGAGTGAGGAGCAGCTTCTTCGGTGTATGGTTGTTCAACGAACCTTCCCACGTCGCGTTTTGGTAGCAACTTGGGAGCACCGGGGATCTTGTCGACCCTCTCCTGATGTTCCTTCATCTGACCACGGAGCGCCTTGTTTTCATTTTCCATTTCTTCCATCTTTTTAAGGATGGCTGTTAGCGTGCCATCGTTGGTCTGTGTCTCGATGGGTCTGTTATTTACTAGTGTAGCTTCCGGTTCACCCACGACCGCAGTGGTACCTACCGTTAGTGTACATACGATGTTATTTTGTGGTGACCTCTCAACCAAGCCACTTAGAGTGCTTGTTAGCCATCTTTCCAGTAGCTCTTTGACCGTTGAGGGTGCTTCCGTAGCCGCAGATGTGGAAGCTCCTTTTTCGTGCAAGATCGTCAGGCCTTCGGATGGGGAAGGTGAGATCTCTGCACCTGGTGTGATGCTAGGGGTTGCATTCAGGATGCCACCGTCACTGACCTCGTTGAGAGGGCCCAGGAGATTGGTAGTGACACCCAATATGGCTTTCGATCTTGTGCTATTTTCTGCCATTTTTCTGTTTTTGTGTAGTGTAGAGAGTGGTAGTTGGTTGATCTCTAGGTGGATACTATGATTTTGATTCTCGAAATCCCCACAGACGGCGCCAAATTGTTTGGCTCAAAAGTTAACGATATACTTTGTAAGCGATAAAACAATCAAAAATAGAAAAGGGGTAAATCGTAATCAAATATAATAAGCCTAGAGATGCAAAGATGATAATATTGTTGTAGATCTGATATTGCAAAGTGATAATGTTTACCAATGAGATACTTTCGTTAGAGGTAGAGACATAGAGAGAGAAAGCCAGAAAAATGAGAGAGTTGTATTAGATCAGATGCCCCTTTTACAATGTGGAGGTCTCCTTTATATAATAGGAGACCTTCCTCGAAAGAATCAAAAAGTTACAAAGATAGGTAACGTCTCCCTAGTGTGGACGCTGAGTTCTAAACGATCTTGCTTTTGTCCTCACGGCCGAGTCGTACCCGCTACGTTGGTCGGCGTACACTCATTGGGCGTACCCACTGGCGTAGGGATACTGAGGGTCAAATTTGACCCTATACAATGTGCCCTGGTATTTCCGCAACACTTGTGATGTTGCACTTGATTTTGGCTAATGTATTACATGCGTTTGAAATTAGAAGACCAACTGATGAACCAATTGACATGACTGAGAGCTTTGTTATGCCTAACCTTAAAGCTACCCCACTTGAGGTTCTTGTTGCTCCAAGGCTGTCACCAAATTTGTATGAAATATGAAGCCATATTATTATTAACTATAAGTCCTAAAATGTAATACATTATTTAAGCAAAATTTTCAGTGTTATATGAAGTTCTCTCATGTTCAGTCAATGTTTTCTTCATTATTCACAACCGCCCCACCCAAAATAAATCCAATTATAAGACATCATTATTCCATTCTATATTACTATGGACTTGGCAATTTTCGTAAAGCACTATAGTATAAAGCCTAGTAAATTACCATTCGTAGCTGCAAATACAACCTATATACAAAGGATACAACATGTTATACAGAAAAATAAAACGCTCTTGTTGAGAGTCAAATTCAAGACCTCCAATAACTAACCAAGCGCTTTAACCAACTGAACTATGAGGGCTTGTTGCTGTCTTGTTTAAGTTCAAAACAATTAATCTCTTGTTTCATCGATTTGCTATAAATTCAAAAATAGCTACAAATATTAAATTTGCTGAAAATATAGCTACTACTGATAAAAACAGTATATATGTTTGATGTTTATTTTAAAAAGTGGCTTGAATCACCTCATGACAATACATGTGCTAGAAAATGACAATAACTGTATTTTCTTAAAGCATGTCCACGAGATACACTTATGTCAACAAGAGATGTCTAAGTTAAGGTGTTTATCTAATGGTTGGTGGCAACTTTAAGTGTCCATCTATGTATTTTAAAAAACAAAATATGGGAGGAAGACAGAGATATATATAGACCACTTTATACCTATACAATCCGAGAATGCCAAACACTTTATCAATTGTTTCATTCGTAAAGACTAGAGGCCAAGCGAGGAGTAAGGAGAACTTGGAGAGGAGAAGCTTTAAGGATTGTCAATCCAAAGCTCTCACTCATATCAATATGTTCATCCGAAGGCCTCTTAAGTTCAAATCCCTGCAACAAACCAGCTAATACAAAGGGCACAGCTTGAAGAGCAAAAGAAATTCCAGGACACATTCTTCTTCCACTACCAAATGGTATCAACTCAAAGTGATTTCCTCTAACATCGACATCTTTATGTGTCGTCAAGAACCTCTCTGGCTTAAACTCGTGAGGATTTGGCCATAAATCTGGATCACTATGAATCTTCCAAATGTTCACTAGTAAGCGAGTGCCTTTTGGTATATCACAGCCACTAATAGTACAATCCTCCATCGACTCGTGTGGTACTAAGAGCGGTGCAGCTGAATATAAACGCAATGCTTCTTTAACAACAGCTTGAAGATAGACCAAGTTCTTGATATCTGAATCTTGAACGCATCTGTTCTTCCCAACGTGAGCATCTAGCTCATCTTGAGCTTTTTTTAGAGCTGAGTAGTTGTTTAGGAGTAAAGATAAAGTCCATATTAGAGTTACAATCGTGGTGTCCGTACCTGCCGCTAGCAGAGCCTATAAAGCCAAACTCAACAATTTCAGCAATAAGCTACACATATGAGCACAACAAGGGACTACAATAGAATATTAATGACAAATTTATAGAAGTTCCTTTCGTTGTCAGAAGACAATGAATTGATGATTAGTGAAAATCGATTTTGATTTTATACACTAACATGAAAACAAAAGTTTTATGCTGTTGCTACAAGGAAAATAGTCAAATTTGTCTATGTACTGTCTGAAATTGCTCGATTATATCCTCTGTTACACTATCGACTTACCTCGTTAGGAATAAGACTCATTATTGCTCTTGATTAGGGGCGGCAAAATGGTTAAAAGAAAACAGTTAACCACCCATATTATCCTCTAAAAAATGGGTTGGATAATAAACTTTTCAAAAACGGGTCAAATATGGATAAGAACCATATTATCAATTTAGGAAATTGATAACAAATGGGTAACCAATGGGTCTAACTTTTACATTTGTAAAGCCTCAAATTTGGGGTTCCTCAAGTTAGAGAGCCTAAGAATTCTCACAAAAGTGATCATATGCAAGAAGTCATGGATAATATGGTTACCCATATTATCCGCCGGTTAACCCGTATTAAATATGGGTCTGGTCGAATAATTTATCGGTTTTTATTACCCGTTTTCGATCCGAACCATATTCGACCCGACCCGCCCGTTTGCCTCTCCTACTCTTGACCTTAGGTTCATAGTCAACAGTGGCGAAGGAAATTAAAATAGTTAGTAAGAATTGACCCAATGACTTTACAAAGGTTTTGAATCCTGTAGACCACTAAGCTATATTTTTGGGCTATGTCAAGTGGGTTCAACACATAATATATAGAGGTAAAAATTAAATTTTGCCTTATATATAGAGTGTAATATTCGGCGAACCGAAACCCCCTAAATCCGCCCCCGCTGGCAAGGGTATGATTTGACCAAAAGTCTTTACTTATAGCCCGTTTGGCCAAGCTGCAAAAATCAGCTTATTTTGAGAAGTGCTTTTTTTCAAAAGTACTTTTCTCAAAAGTACTTTTGGTGAGAAGCAGTTTGTGTTTGGCTAATTAGTTTGAAAAACACTTCTGAGCAGCAATTAGTGTTTGGCCAAGCTTTAAAAAACTGCTTTTAAGTGTATTTTTCTCAAAAGTGCTTCTCAAAAAAGTGCTTTTGGAGAGAAGCTACTTTTTTCTGCTTCTCCAAAACTGCTTCTGCTTCTCCTCAAAAGCACTTTTTTTTCCTTCCAAAAGCTTGGCCTAACACCTCAATTTTTTGCCAAAAGTGCTTTTGACAAAAAAAAAAAAAGCACTTTTGGCCAAAAAGAAGCTTGGCCAAACAGGCTATTAGTCAAGTCATATACTCATTGCTAGTTTATTACTTAAAACATTGCAACAACAACGATAACAACAATAGTCCAGTATAATCTCACAAGTGGGATCTGGGGAAGGTATGATGTATGCAGCCTTACCCCTACCCTGGAAGGGCAGAGAGACTATTTCTGATAAACCATCAGCTAAGAAAAGATGAAAGAAGCACTGATATCAAATAATAATCATTTAGAAAACTAATCCAAGAATGCAAAAGAGAAGATGACAGGAGTACTGATAACAAGTAATATACATGTCGTGATAACAAGCTAAGAGAATTACGTAAAACAGAGCAATTTGGAGAAATTAAGAGTAGTAATTAGATGCGGTTTTAAGAGGATAAATAAGAAACGTACCATACAAGTAGCTTTGATAGAGGTATCAGCATCAAACCCAGGAAAATCTCTGTTTTCACAAATGGACAACATTACATCCATGAAATCTTCTTCCTCACCGTATTTAATCCCTTTAGAATCCCTCCTCCTTTTATGCTCTCCTAACCATTCTTCAACAACAGAGTCGATTTCTTTAGCAACTTCTTTCATTGCCTTCTCATGTCCTCCTATATCTAGCCACCTTAGATAAGGTAAAAAATCAGCAACAACAGTAGCCCCTAACAACTCAAAAAATCTTCTAATTGCTTTATGAGCTTTATTTATTCCTTCTCCTTCAGTACACTCTTTTCCAAATAACATCTTCACCATAGTATTCATAATTACATTTCCTAACCATTCCTTCATCTCCATTTCCACTGCACCATTTAAACTACCACTTTTATTCTTCAGCCAGTAGTTATACGTTTCTTTGATAGCTGATTTTACTTCAAATTCTCTTATGTGTTTGAGCATCTCAATTCGCCGAGTGGACAGAAATTCAATAGTGGCTATTTTCCTTATCTCTCGCCAATAAGGTCCGTAAGGAGCAATCCCAAACATGGCATGGTTGTAGCCTATGATCTCAGAAGCCAAGGATTTGGGCCGATTTGCAAGGGCCAAATCGTTGGTTGTGAAGCATTCTTTGGCTATTTTGGGATCACTAACCACAACAACTTTATATACACCAAACTTCAACCCGAAAATTGGCCCATATTTTTCTGCCATTCGAGCTAAGACTTTGTGAGGTAGCTGATCAGATTCAGTTCCAGTGAGAAGGTGGAGATGGCCAATGATAGGCCATGCTCCGCCTGCTTCAGGTACCCTTTTGATCCTCTGCCCATTGTTTCTTTTGGTTGAGAAGTAAAGAACGAATAGAAAAACGAAGGAGCTAGCTAGTGTAATGGCAATTAAGAAGAAATCCATGGCTAACCATATATTGTGGGGATGTAACCTGTTATAATCTTGTATATTCAGAAGTATACTCCAAAAAAGAAATGGTGGGGGAAGTTTATATTTATAGATGGATGAGAATAGCCAGTAAATTCAACCATATCACGTTATCTCCACTTCAAGATTATATAATATTAGAAGCTGAAATTGCTAAATTAAAACTTTTTTGTATATATACTACCATTAAATAATACAGAAAACATTAGGAAACCAATGAAAGGACAACGGCGGTTGTTTTAAGTTAAACTATCTGATATTTTAATCCAAATTATATTGTCCAAATAATTTACTTTTGCGCGTGGGGCTCATCTAAGGAGGAATCACTCCTAATTATTACTCCCTCCGTTCTAATTTATGTGAACATATTTGATTGGACACGAAGTTTAAGAAAAAATAAAGACTTTTAGAATTTGTAGTCCTAAACAAATCAAAAAGGGGCCAAGAGTATTTGTGTGGTTATAAAAGCTTATCATCAAGTAGAATTGATAAGTTAAATTGTTACCAAATTTAGAAAGGGATCATTGTTTTTTGAACGGACAAAAAGGAAATAGGTTCACACTGAAACAGTGGAAGTAGTAAATTCTCTTCTAATCTCAGATCTCAAGTTCTAAAATTCTAGTTAAGATTGAATGAATTTTATTTATCTTGTGTCAGTTGTAAATGAAAGAGCTTATGACAAAAATTGCTAATGAAGAATTGTCCCTGGCCGCCGCTGACAATTGAATGTGGCACTATAAGCAATGAATATATCAGTTATATATTGCGTGAAAAGAGAATGATAGCTAGTTTTATTGGCGACCGAGAACGTTACGTAAAAATGACCACCACGTCCGACTGTTGTGTTTGATCTGTCGTAGTTAGGGCCGGATCTAAAAATTTAGAATATGAGTGTATCTTTAAAAAAAAGGAAGGAAAAAACTATTAAATGAAAATTAATCCATATTCCTATGAATATATAATTAAGTATTAAATCAGATGCACCATCAACCCTTTATGGAACATGAATATCAATATATAATATTAGATTAATTTTAAAAAATATATAAATAAAATAATTAATTTGACAGAGGATCTTTCATGCATCGTGCCCCATGGCTCATAGTCATCATTATCGTAAGCGTTGAAATTCTGATGTTTTCGAGGAAAAGATGTATTGGTCCTATTCCATTTTGGCAGGATAGCGGCCTAGCTAGCATACACCTCTATAAGAAAACAATATTAAATTAATTAACAAATGACAAAATTGCATTGGAAATGCAAACAGTGGTGGCCCGTGGTTGATAGTGAAAAATAACAAAAACAAATGCCAAATGTGTATAGGGTCGAATTTGACCAACTACGTTCTTTAAGACAGCACGATCGATCGAGTGTGCGTGAGCCCGATTAGAAGAGCGACCTATGAGCAACAAGAGGGACGACTCCTTGACCACGCTGGCTGCTCTACAATATGTACTTTATTCTTTGCCTTTTTGTATTTAAGTAAGGATCCTCTATTATATAAAGGGAATCTAAGCTTGGAAAAAGGGGAACTCTCGGAGATTATAAGAAATACAAGCGCTCTCTCTCTCTCTCTCTCTCTCTCTAACATTGTTTCTCTTATCTAATAGAAGTGTATCATTTACTCTGAATTTTGTTCATCTCGTTGTTATATGATCCAATATTCAAGATCATCCTAGAGTTTATTATCTTCCACTACGATTTACCCCTTCATCTATAATGATTGATTTGCATAAAAAGTATTAACATACTTTTGAGTCAAACAATTTGGCGTCGTCTGTGGGGATTTCGGTAGCAAAAACCATAGTTTACATCTAGGATACCAGAAACAACCATCGCTGTTCTTCAAATCCCATAGAAACTAACAAATGGCAGACAAAGAGTCAAGGTTGAAGATGATAGCAGACGTCTCAACCAACCTCATAGGCCCACTCAACGAAGCAGGCAGAGAAAATACCGCGAATATAACACCAAGTAACATATCGGAGGGGGAGATCTCGCCCCCCTCACTTGAAGATCTAACGATTTTGCATGAAAGAGGGACTTCTACGTCTGCAGCAAAGGAAACACCCCCAGTAGTCAAAAAGCTACTGGAGGAATGGTTGACGAACACTCTAAGTAGCATACTCGAGAAACCGCCTCAGGGAAATATCACAGATCCATCGGTGGCAGAAATCACCACCACCATCGGAGAGCCCAGCATTGCGCGAACAGGTAACACCCACACTGACTCCAATACAAGCAACGATGCGCTCACAGCCATCCTTAAGAAAATGGAGGAGATGGAGAACGAGAATAAAACACTTCGTGATCAAATGAAGGAGCACCAAGAGAGGGTAGACAAGATACCTGGCGCCCCTAAGCTACTGCCGAAACGCGATATGGGGAGATTCGTCGAGCAACCATATAATGAGGGAGCTGCTCCTCACCCAATCCCCAAAACCTTCAAGATGCCACCATACTTGAAAATATACGACGGGACCACAGATCCAGAAGATCACCTGATTCATTACGTGACCGCCGTAAAAGGCAATGACCTATCGAAAGAACAGGTGCCATCTGTGTTGCTGAAAAAGTTTGGGGAGACTCTGACGGGAGGAGCACTCACATGGTACTCTCAGTTGCCGGCCAGATCGATATCAACGTTCGAAGAGATGGCGGACAAGTTCACCACCGCCCACGCAGGAGCAAAGAAAGCCGAAGCCAGGGTCAACGACATTTTCGCCATCAGGCAGACAGCGGGCGAGGGACTCAGGGACTTCCTGACATGATTCAACAGGGTAAGAATGGGACTGCCGAACGTATTGGAGGGAATGACAGTGGCAGCTTTCCAAAACGGGCTGAACAGAGACGGATCCAAAGCAACCAAAAAGCTGCTCACTCGGCTCATGAAATATCCCTCCACCACGTGGGAAGAGATCCACAATGCCTATTGCGCCGAAGTCAGAGCGGATGAAGACGACCTTAACGGTCCGACCCAAAGATTAACGTCCGTACAATCAGAAGTAAGGAGGGACCAACGCAACGACGGACAACGGGAACCACTTCCACGCTTCAACAGAGAAAGGCACAAACCTTACGTCAGAACTCCTAACCGGCCTCCTCCAAGACACCCAGATGCCGTACAGCGACATGCCGCCCCGCTTCGAAATGAAAGAGGTATGCCCCCATTATTATCTGCTCATAACTTTTGTGTCTCCCCTTCAGAAATAGTGTACGCACTGGAAAAGGTGGGCACGAAGGTGCAGTGGCCACAGAAAATGAAGTCAGACCCCAGTGCGAGAAGGTCGAACGTCCTATGCGAATTCCATCAGGAAAGAGGACATAAAAACGAAGATTGCATAGGCCTACGGCAGGAGGTGGTCAGAATGCTGAACCAAGGATACCTGAAGGAGCTACTCAGCGATAAAGGAAGGACTAACTTCGCCAGAGGACGTGATCAACCCCAAGGACCACCGATACCACCTTCTCCAGCACGCACCATACAGATGATCGTCGGCGGCGGCGACGACTCGGCAATCAACCATGTAAAGTTCACTACCACTCACAAGTTGAAACGCACGATCGCTCACGAACGGTATGATGACTTCGAAGATGGTATCACCTTCGATAAGTCTGATGCCGACGGTTTGTCTTTCCCTCATTATGATGCTTTAGTTATAACTTTACGCATTGCTGATACCGATGTGAAAAGAATCATGGTAGACAACGGAAGCGGCGTGTGTATTATCCACCCCAAAGTCCTCATGCAAATGAGGCTCGAAGATAAGATAATACCGCGTTGCATAACGCTAACGGGTTTTAACAATGCAGTAGAGAGAACCTCAGGACAGATATCACTGCCCGTCCTGGCGGGGGGAGTCACGTTTGAAACCACGTTCTACATCATGAACCAGGAAACGGCCTACAACGTCATCATGGGACGTCCCTGGGTGCACGCCATGCGGGCCATTCTTTCGAGCCTCTATCAAGTAATCAAATTTCCCACCCCATGGGGAATATTCAGCATTCGAGGCGAGCCACGTACCGCCCAGGAATGTTACCGAATTGCCCAGGATTACGCACATACAAAATAGCTGAAAGGAGCAAGCGCGGAAGCATAGCAATCAGCCATGTCGGGAACCAAAATCAGCCCGACGACAGAGGCTATCAGGGACCCGGATGTCGTAGAAGCCTACAAGGCAACAGTCAAGAATCTCGACCCCGTCCAACTGGATAGTACCGATAGCTCGAAGAAAGCTTACATCGAACACAATCTCTCCGACCCAGGTAAGTACCACGAATTCTTAACTAACCATGCAGATTTATTTGCCTTCTCTCATTCAGATATGCCGGGGATCCCAAGAGACATCACCTCTCACAAGCTGAACGTCGACCCACTTTACCCGCCCGTGAGGCAGGTAAGAAGGAAATTCAACGCCGCAATCAACGAGGCGGTCAGTGAAGAGGTAGATAAACTACTAGCCAACGGTTCCATCAGGGAATCAAAGTACCCTCAATGGGTCGCCAACGTGGTCATGGTTAACAAGAAAAATGGGAAATGGAGAATGTGCGTAGACTTCACCGACCTAAACAAGGCGTGCCCAAAAGACTCCTTCCCGTTGCCCCATATCGACCAATTGATCGATGCGACATCAGGGCACGAGCTGTTAAGTTTCTTGGACGCCTACTCTGGCTATAACCAAATCTTAATGGCCAAAGAGGACCAAGAAAAGACAACTTTCATCACCCATCAAGGGACGTACTGCTACAAGGTGATGCCCTTCGGACTGAAAAAACGCGAGTGCAACATATCAAAGGTTGGCCACCAAGATGTTTAAGGAACAACTCGGTAAAACAACGGAGGTCTATATCAACGACATGCTAGTGAAGTCGGTTAAGAAGGAAGACCATATCAACCATTTAAAGCAGGCCTTCGAGATACTGAGGCAGTATGGGATGAAGCTGAACCCAGAAAAATGCGCCTTCGGCGTGGCCTCCGGGAAATTTCTAGGTTTCCTCATATCATAGCGAGGCATCGAAGTCAACCCATATCAAATTAAGGCTATAGACACAATACCCGAGGTACTGCACAGCAAGAAACAGGTATAAAAATTAACGGGGCGAATAGCCGCCTTATCCAAGTTTATCTCG